CTCAATTGAAATTTGCTCTATGGAGCCAGGACTAGCGGATTTTCGATGAATTGCAGTTTCATTTACTTCCGTATTGGCCTCCCGAGGGAGAGCGGGAGGTTGCCGCTTGTTTCACATAAAATAACAGACTTTAAATTACCGACATTTACTGTAAAATTACAAACATTTACTGTAAAAAATGGATGTTAAATTACAGACATTTACCATAAAATAACGGATGTTAAATTACAGACAATTACCATAAAATAACGGCCGTAAAATTACAGACATTTGCTGTAAAAAAAAAAAAGCAGATTTTAAATTACAGACATTTTCTTAAATTTAAATTTGCTGTAAATTTCTTTACTTTACCATCTGTAATTTTACGGCATATATTTGTAATTTAATGGACGTTATTTAACTTTTTTCCCGGCACCACAGCTCCTGGAAAAAACTAAAAAGTTAAACAGATTTTTTTTTACAGTGTATATTATTTATTGTCATTGCGCAATTTGAACGTCAATTTGATTAAGTCAAACCTCTGATCATGCACCATAAATAGGCTTGTTTATTCAGCTTATTATTGGAGCGGCAAGAACTGCCAACTGATGTCATGTTTATACCAGGTAATAAGATGTGTTTTGGTCAGTTGGATCACAGGTAAACCAAGAGATGCATTTCTGTTCAAAGCTGGCATTTAAATGAGGTAAAAGTATTTTGTCCACTTTTGACCATGCATGGTGTACTTTATTATATATAAATCATTCAATCTAAAAACCTAACAATCATGTGCTTTTTTTGTCAACATTTGTACTACAAATACTACAGCAATGAAATACTTTATGGATACATTATGCATTGAGATTTATTTCCTTTGTTTACAATGAGCTCTCATTTCTTGTCAGTTTAAATTAAGTTTTTTTCGTGCAGAAAGTTCAGGGAACTGCACAAAACAGGAAGATGTGCTTATGTGAAGCAGAGACTGATAAACAGACATCTTTTACCGCCACATGGTGGACGCCATGAAACAAAAACAACTAATCAATATAAATATATGAAATAAAATTAGGAAAAAGTAAAACTGCACAAAATATTTCACAATAACTTAAGTTAAACATACATACAGTACACAAGCTAAGGTAATTCAAAATATTATAGTATTACAGTATACAAAATGATTCTATTAGTATAAAAAAAGTCCTTTTTATAACAGAAAAACAAGTCAAATGAGGATTTACCATAAATTGGCCCATGTGTCGTTTTTTGTTTTGTTTTTTTTTTCCTGTGCATTTTTTGCAAACAAAAACTTCAATATGAAGAAACTGAATTAGGGTATGGTGGCGGTTTAAAGGCATTCTCAACCGTTCTATGTACCAGATGTTGTCTTTTGTCTTCCCTGATAAATATTAATGGGATTTCTTGGGTTGGACAACAGGAAGTTGGTAGAGCTGAATGGCAGACTTGAAGGAAAAAGAAAGGATATGAAATTAATGGGATTAAAAGAGCAAAAAATCCACACTATCTAGTTGTGGACTCACTTGTGCAATCAGAGACATTGTTAATGTAATTAGGATAAATATAAACAGTGATTCTTACATTAGCAAGCAGTACAAATGTTTAAAAACAGTAAAGTTGCAAAGTGAAAAGTGGTGAATCTTTGGCGTAAAACCAAAAATGGCAAGTTTGCCAACCAAAAAGGTGACTTTTCTTTTTTTAGTTTGATGTGAAAATGCCATAATTTTGAGCCAGCTCCACTCTATACTGAAGTGCCAAAGATTGCAACTGTAGAGTGCAGACATCAAACACCTGTTAAACAATTTACAGTTATATGAGCTCTAGCTAATAATCTAAACCTGAAAAATATAAATAAATAAAACTATTTCAGACTTGAATGTGCATTTTATCATAAAAAAAGAAAAATGTTCAATTATTTTTCATAAAGTGGAATCAAAGGAGTCCCAAATCATAGATGGCTTCTGAAAACTTAGAAAATAGCCTTTCTAAGTTTGTCATGTATTTGTATATTTTCCCCATCTTTTTGGAGCTTGAAAATGTAGCTCAATCAACATATTGCACTAAAACTGTGCTTTCACACCGAAGGTGGTGAGCATATCCACCAACACTTCTGTTTTTCCCGGGAGTCTCCCGTATTTCAGACCCATCTCCCAGTCATCTCCCGTATTGTTCTGTCTCCTGGAAAACTCCCGTAATTTTTTATCAGATTCATTTAACAATGGAAGATCAAGTTGTTGCATGTGGTGTGCCTTTGCTCAACTTATCCAATATGTCCATGTTTGAAATATTCTGAAGCAGCAATATATAGTTTCATATTGTCCTTATAGTTGGCATGAGATTTCCATTTTTTTAAGAAAAAAAAATATATAACATTAATGCACATCAGTAACTGGCCAGTAAGTTTTTTTAATGTATGTCCCCATAAGGAAACATTGTAAATAATTCGTCACCTTAGAATTATAAGGTTCTATCTGGGTTCTGAATTATTTTGAAATATTGAGCTTCAGTTTTTGCAATCCATATAACTAATAATATGTGTGTAACAGTTCTCTTTCATACATTAACATGACAGAGACCCTAAAAGTACTCTAAATGTAAATTATCAAAACTTTTTTATTTAATTTGCATATTGGAGTAACAAAAACATGGTAAATGCAGATAGAACCTTTAATTCTGAAAAGTCATTTTCCGTTTGGAATGATAAGGTTCTATCTGGCAGATCATTTATTGAAGCGTTACTTTTCAAAAAATACAATCAAAAATACTCACAATTTGGCGGTGTAACAATATGTTGATGCTTAAGAAAGTAAAATTTCTGCTTTCTATAACATTTATATATTGTTTTGGATGAATATTTTTTACTTGTTAAAATTTAACATACAAGGCTGTGCTGAATATTTCATCTAGTACAGATGTTAATTTTATGTAATTAATATGGTCATAATTATTAAACTGTATGCTTTATATGAATTATTGAATTATATTTATTGAATTTTATTCTATATTTATTGAATTATATGCCCCATTAATTAAATTAAGTATGTGCCCTTCAAGGCTTAGTATTACGTTTAAAGACTTTAAAAGAAAACAGACGATGAGCAAATGAGTTGAATAAACACTGAAAAGTGTTTCACTGACTATATATACACACAAATAAAAATATTTCACATTTAATATATAATTTTTTTATATTTTGTTTCTTTTTCAACAGTGTAAATTTTAACATTTAATCTCAGTGTAAAAAAATGCTTCTAAATCATCACATTTACACACATCTCAATTTGTGTAATGTGGCATTATTTAGCCGACTCTGATTTTGTGTGATTTCGTCTTTTTGATCTTTTTCGCTGTCAATGGAGCATCCCGGCAAAATGACAAAGAAAGCTGATCCTGATTGGTCCTTGTGCGTGCATTAAAAATGCTGATTGGCTCACAGAACGAATCTTATAGAGACAAGCTAGAGTTCAACTTTGTAGATAAACCGTTTTGTTTTTTAAATAAAAAGTCTTAAAATGTAAACAACTTATAAAAACACATCCCATAATGTAAATAAGTTGTCATTTACTAAGAATATGTCAATAACTAAATTTTGACAAAAATTGTCAGATAGAACCTTATAATTCTAAGGTGACGAATTGTAAACCCGGTGCCCGTAATAATCAAACCATTGGTAACAACTGTGGTCGGAACCAAATTTCACAGGACTGTGTTCTCTGGACTCCTCCCAAGCGGTGGACTTCAACTTTCCAATTGCTTGCCATCGATCCACGTCATAGTTCATTACCATAAAAATTACTTGATTTCAACTCTCCTCAACATCCGCTTCTCACTGCCACCCATTGAGAATGAATAACTTCCAGCAACTTTGACAACTTGACACTGCTTTCGGTGTAAACGCACAGTAATACTGTATCCATGGAAAATAGCAGCATTAACTTTCTTCAGAACACCTTTTGTGGTTTTTGTTTCTAAAACTTTTAGACTCAATTTCGAGTGCGGGAATCAAAATGCTCACTTTTTGGTAAACGAATGGTTTAAATGGTATTGACACTGCAAGCCTGCATGCTAGGTCTGCATCTCTGTGAAAGGAATACCAATCTGGTACAGAGGGTCACATATTTAATCTAGAGTCTATATCAATCCTAAAACTAGGCCTAGAGTCATACAAAACGTAATAAAAGCATCTTGGCCTCTTTAATTTACTCAATTTTATCACTTTCACTTTTATTTTAAACACCCAATCATTTGCTAAATCAATCAGCCAATCAGGTAGAGTTCTCAATCTTATACATATAGAACAGTTCATCATTTTCCATTGGCCAAAAAGCTCCAGATGGGGACCGTATAGTGATACACCATTAAAAGTAAGCCAATTTAACGCTCACAGCTTGATGCATCCATGCTCTAAATGTTCAAATAATCATCATAAAGCCCACTAAAATATGTTCACTTTTCAAGTTACTTACCCAGATCCTCAATTTTCAGGTATAGCTCCTGGAACACTTTTCAACAGGTGTTTTAGACATTTGAAAGATTCAATCAAATCTATGCTCCTTTTACTATTTATAGTGTGCACTGTGGGTCAAATTGTGAAGCAGATGCCTTGCCCTGATAGCATGGCATGAATCCAAGCAGATTTTAGGAGAGGCAGATTAGCCAGGCTTCCCTGTCAAGGCAAGTTCGGTTTGTGTACATACAATGGAGGAAAACAGCCAACAAGTTGGGGGGACACCACACAGTTAAGATGCTGACAAAAGCCAATGCCGAGGGGGAGGAGAGATGAAGAGGGGTGGGAAAGATCAGGGCAGCTGGAGGATTGGTGGCACACAGTAGATCTCATTGTGTCCGACCTGATTATCCTTCACAAGAGACAGCTAGTTGACACCAGTAAGTCTGCGGCCGCACTAGTGGACCGATGTAGTCATGATTCTGCTTGGTCTTTGATTATTTAAGAGACCCTTTCAAACTACAATGATCTCTGCCTGGACCCTTATCTCAAGACAGACATGGTGGTGTTTTTAAGCAAAAATGTTCGGTCTCTGTTGTCAATCTTCAAGAAGAAGGGTGAGTAGATGCATCCTTTTATTTAACATTTCACCTAGTTCCTAAAATACTGTTTACATATTGAGTGCACAGTGCAAGATGCATTACAGTAAATTTATCAAGACAGTGGTACTTGAGTTAAATAATTTCGAAGTTAACTTTTTATGCAGGTACTGGTTTCTACAATAGCATAAAATATGCACTGCTGTAAAAACATAACTGTCAGTGTGGATTTAGAGACAAAGTTCTCTGAATATCTGTAGCTTCCCAAAATGTGCTTTACTCATAATGACATTTACAGAATCAGTGTGTGCCAACCGAGGATTATTCCATTTTAGATTATTTAAAAAGAACTTGGCTAGGTCTATTATAATTCATACCCAAGGTAACAGCCATCTTATATTTGTAATCTTTTATCATATTATACTTGCAGTTATAGTAAACAAAATTCTTATAAATGACATTTAACTGTTCCAAGAGTATGGTCAGAGTTTGGTAAAACAGCATTTTTCTCCTTCGCCCCTACATTATTGAGTATTTTCATATCAGAAACATCTTTAAATCTTACCTGGAAAACCACCTTTTATTACCTGGAAGAATCATGCAAATGTTTTGTGTAAAATTCAATTAATCATATTTTATGCATATTTCATTTCATATCTGAAACTTTTTGTGCTGCCATTTTGGCCAGGACCCCCTGGTAGAAGGGTTGCATATCTCATTGGGAAATTCCTGTTAAAATATATTTAAAAAAATAAATAAAAAAACAGGGTAAGGAGCTGTTAAAGTACACTTACAGTGCAACCCCCCCAACAAGGGTTGACAGAAATTCACTTGAAATTTGAGTCTTGTGAAATTTAGAATATTTGCTGTAAACGGGTGTATGAGTGCGGAACTGGTAATGTTTTACAAATAGAGCTGTGCTGTACCGTGAATAAAACATTCTTACTTTTATATGCAGGAGCAGTTTGCAAATTGGACTTCTATATAGTTCACTTGCCTACAGATTGTGTTTTCAGTCTCTGTTATATCACAGTGCCAGCAGTCAGTGGCAGGACACCTGACACTCCCCATGGGGTGTACTACACAAGAAGCTTAAAAGTTGATACCCGGTGAGCAGTTAGAAATCTGCATAAATGGCTGAGAGGCTGAGTCGGTCTCTTTTAAGGGAAAGTCCCTGTCCTAAAACACTCATCAATTTTGCGGTGCCTTTCGGAAACATAGAAAGTCCAGTCAATAGTAGGCACCTTAGTGGTACGCCAGGAAAATGATAGGGGGACGAGAATGAAGTGTCTCACTGTTCCTTTGAGAGCGACCCAGTCCAACGATGGGCAACCCTCAAGAGTCCCAGTTCTCCACATTACAAATTTAACAGCTAGCCTCAGTATAAGATATATTCTAAAACTACTAAACTATGTTTTTAATACCTTGGGTGATTTAGGAATATGTTTAAAGGATTCATCTCAGTTTTTTTATATTACAGACAAGGTTGTTTGTTAATTATGAACACTGATTGTAATATTTCAATTTTAAATGAATGTATAGAAAGAAAAACCAAAGCCCCCCTGTGCTGACATATGCTGAAGGGGCAGCTATAGAAAGGGTAATCTGGTATTTCGAGGAATTAAAGATCTGAAGAGATTACCTGGTCACAGCTTGAGTTGAACCATGACTTGGTTGGACACCTACCATCAAAATGTACCACTCACTCCTGTCAATGATCTAACAAGAATTGGCTGCCAAGCTTAGCAAATGTTGCCAATGGACAAAGAAAGGATGGGCAGAGTAAGAACTTTTAACAGCCAGATTTAAAAGCCTTTCATTCACAAAATGGGTATGTAGAAATCACGTTCACAAGCTCCGGATGATTGAGTGATCCACAGGTCTTTTCGGTACAGAGTTTGCATTTTTTCGTGCTAAGAGTGGTCTGGTTTTCCTCACAGACACAGAAGTGAGTGAATACATGCACTACTGTAAATTGACATTAAGAGTGTGCATGTGTCCTAGCACTGTGGTTGCACATGTCATTACACCCTCTGTGATCGGTTGAGTCAGGAAGGTCATCTAGTGTAAAAGCTTTTCCAAATCCAGCAGAGAGATGATGATTTGCAGATGTTAACCTTTCTGTGCCTTTTGCAAAACTGTCCTGCTTATGCATCAACATCTTGATTTGATTTAAATGCAACTTTTGAAATTGATGAACTACCTATGATATCATACATCTGGGGTCTTTTAACCTGATCCTGGTAGACCACTCTCCTGAAAACTCCAAGCCTAGTAAAAAATCTAACTCTAACAGGTAATCAATAGTTTGGATCAACTAGAAACCTACAGACAAATATGTTCAATCTGCAGGATGTTGGTCTTTCAGGAGCAGGATTCTATATCCCTGCATGACATACTGCATGTTAATGAGAAGGTTTTGTGAAAGAGTGCATCCATTTATGTGTGCGTACCTTCACCTTCCTTCTGTCTGTGTGTCTCTACCAGGTCAGAAGCAGGATGAGCAAAGAAAGCTGACTGTACACTACACTGCTTCCCAGCACTACCAGGAGAATGTGTTCATAGAGGGGAGCAGGCCAAAATATCTGGAGGACCTGCATACAGAGGCTCAAGAGGGACTGAAGATACTACAGCAGGAGGGTGAGCATTACACCCACCTTTTCCAATTACACAAAACACACTGCTCGCATTCTGGCCTTCTAACATACACTTGTGTTTTCTGATGCACCTCACTCAGTCTTTCTTCCATACAGAGAACAAAAATGGAGTGGACTTTCAGGATGACCATATTGTGGTAAGCCTCTGAAATTTAAGTTTTTCACAAATACAGTACAATATGGTAACAAGTAAAATCATAAACAAGTTCCTGAAAATGTTTTAACTGTAATTTCGTATTTCTTCACATTTTAAAGAAGGGTTGAAATAATGTATAAATTGAACCTTTAAAGGATGTATTTATACGGTTGAACTCCTTGCTTGCACAGCCAGAGGAAGACACAAGCTCAAAAGAAAGGAATGAATCGCTTGAGAACGATAGCACCTCAGGACACTCCATCATTTCAGTGTCGACTGCCTCAGCAGTCTCTACACGTCCAGTGCTTACACGTCAAGGTATACAATGCTGACTTAATAAGAAGTTTTAAAATAAAACATGCTTAGTGGCACTGCCTCTTTGTTTTTCCCCACTAATTTGTTTTCAGGTTTAACAATTGTAGTTGACACCAGTGGTGCTCAGCCCTGTATCGGAGCTCTACCTTCCTGCAGATTTCAGTTCTAACCCTGTTCAATCACATCTGAACTAATTTATTAGGACCTGAACAGTAGAAGTTGAAGCTAAAATCTGCAGGAAGGTAAATCTCCAGGAACTGGACACCCCTGGTTTACACTGCATGGCAGTAGCTTGAGCAAGTTATCATAGTAATAGCAATGCAAAGGGAAAAAATACATTTTATATTGCTTTAATTAAAAAAATATTTAATCTCTGTATGAACTATCACTCTTTAGGTTCTACATTTAAGCCCTTAAACCCTGTTAAACGACTGGATAAGTCCAAGAGACGGAGTCGAAGAACAACTATCATGGGAATACCACAGCAAGTTCAAAGAGAACTTGGTATGTAAAGCCATTGACATATATTAAGGCATCATTGTTTGAGCATAGCATACCTCAAATCAGTAGTGCCAACAAGTATGTAAGACTATGATTTTCCACAAAATTAAAAGAAATTATAATAATTGCTTATATATTTTGTATACCTTAGATATGGCAAGAGGAACTATGCTGCAGCAGCTTCCAAACAGAGGACATGACAGTGAAGATGATTCATCTGGAACAGTTGTTCTACAAACAATTGATGGAGATCTCCCATCTGTAAATCATGAAGGGGCTCGTGTACACCTGCAGAACATTGAAGTCCTTCAGGCATCAAGAGATGAAGACTTGCTTTTGAACCACATCCATTCTGTCTACCAAGATGAGTTAAACAGAAAGCTTGGACTTGGAGCATGCCCTACACAGAGGCCTAAGTCACTTGCTGTGCCAGGGATGACCACTTACTCTTTCCTACAAGAGCCTCAAGGCCCTGTTATGTCTATTTCTCCACAGGCAACATATTTATCTAAGATTATTCCAAATGCAGTTTTGCCAGCTGCAATAGATATCATTGAAATCAATCATGATCACAACCGATGCAGTGCAAGTACAGCTAGCAAGGGTAGTATGGCATCAGCTAGCCCATCTTCTTCACGGTCTGGAAGTGGGACAAATCAAGCTCCTCCCACTACTAGTCCCAGCAGGAGCAATTCACAATCATCGGAGACTATAGTCTCTAATTCATCCACAATCTCTTCAAAAGGAAAGTGTCTACCAACCTTTGATGCTGACAGCGCCAAAGACATTTCGGTTTTAATCCCAAAGGACATGAGTGTTTCGAGCTCAAGCAGTTGGAAAAGTTCTGAGGGGAAAGGTACAAATCACAGACTGAACCCCAGAGAGTATGGTGATGCAGGGGACAATGTCAGAAACAGCCATTCGTTCTCCCGTAGTCTTTCTGTTATGAAGACAAAATTACCACCAGCACCACCTCAGAGAACCTACTCTCTGCATCATGAAAACATGCAGAGACAGAGAGAGCAGGGAGACATACAAGATCCCAAAGATGTGGCACCAAATAATAATGAGCAAACAAACAGAGATATCAGCAGTACAAAAGAAAATCATCAGTCCGCTAAAAACAAGAAGAGTTCAGTCCATTCTTTAGAGCTTAGATCAGACTTCCACACAACTGTGAAATCTAGTCCACTTAGTCCTGATCAAGTTTTCACTGGAAGGCATGCCAGATCAGGTAACTCATCCCCACAGAAAACTAGAGAATGTGGTGAAAATTTTGATAGGACTTTGTCTCCTTCAAGTGGCTACTCAAGCCAAAGTGGGACACCTACGCATTCCCCTAAAGAGGTCAGTCCCTCCTCACCTGGAAAGAGAAGAGTAAAGCCTTCAAAACCTGAGAGAGTATGTGCAAAGACTTCACCTGTGGTTTCGGTGTCTTCATCACTAACATCTCTGTCTTCAGTCATATCAGATACAGCACATCAGGACATTCAAACCAATACCACTTCATCGGAACCACTCAAATTCTCCCCTCCACTTACAACAGTGAAAAACAAAGTTACACCTACACACCAAACTATTGCTCTTAGGACACTATTCAACATTCCCCCACCACCCAAGGTAAAAGCCCCATCTCCCCCACCCCCTGAAACCTGGGTTCAAAATAAACAGACCCTTGAACTACTATGTGGCCCAGGCCCAAACATCCATAAGTTGGAGTCATTAATAAGTAAAACTCAAAATAAAAATTCAATGCAAATCAATGAACAAGTAATTCCAAAGACACAGACAACAGAAGAAACTAAGACTGAGAACACAGTTGTAAAAGAGCTAACTAAATCTGCATCACCACAAGTGCATAAACAAATGATGGTAGAACCTCCAGATGTAAGGCATACAGAAAAGTCCATTTTACATAATGAATTAAAAAGTCCAGAAACACTTGCAAAGGTAAACCAGATCCCTCACACACAAGATGAGAAAACGATAGAGGACCAAAAGGACAGATGGAGTCAAACACTTCCTACAACAAATGTACCATCTATTATAGTTGATCAAAGCATGCTGTCACAAACAAACTCTATAGAAAAAACAAAAGCTGCAACTGTGAGCAGCAATGAGAACCAAAGAAACTGCATTGTTACCGACATCGTGAATCGTATATCAGTGCAAACACTCAATATAGAAGTACCTGAGGTCAATGGTGTTTCTCCACCTCCTTCTCCACCTCCAGAACACCACCCTCCTCCCCCACCTATTAAAAAGATGTCAGACATGTCAGTGTCTATACCACCTTCCGAAAAGGAGGAACAAAAGCAAGTGGAACAAGTAACTTTCCCAGAGTCTTCTTGGCCTCCACCTCCACCACCAATGGAAGAGTCAACTGAATTGATGTTTGAGGAACAAGATGAGCTTGACTTCCCTCCACCACCCCCTTCATTCATACATGAACCCATGTCAGAGATATCTGACGATTTTCATGAAGAGTCATGTGAAGAGGTCAGTATAAAATTATTGTCAACGAATGTCTCAGATATGGACAGTAGTCCAGAACAAGACTCAGAAAGGCATACCATTCTGCCAAAAAGAATTGTACAAAACAGTGTGGAGGTCAGACAACAAGACAAGTCTTCTGACAGTGTATCAGAATTTTTGGAGGACCAAGCTGAAATAGAAAACACAAATGTAGCCTCTACGATAATATCCAGTCATTTACCAGATAAGAACTTACATGAGAAGGAAACGCTGGTTTCCACTAGCATTCCACTTGCACCTCCTCTTCCTGTAGAAGAACAATCTACTATTAACTTCCGAAAGCAACTGAGCTTTGTAGATAAAGACAACAGGAGCAAAGAACTTCTCTGTCGACACAAAAGCACACCTATTCCAAAGGAGGATGCCAACATTCCACTCGTCACACCTTCTTTACTCCAGATGGTGCGACTAAGATCTGTAAATGTTGGTGAAGACCAAGTAAACAACGATTCCAAACCAAGTACTGAGCCTACAACAAATGAGGATCATAGTATTTCTAGTCAAGTAACACCACAGAAGCCTATTCGCAGATCCCTAACTTTGAAGTCCAACTCACCTGCTAAGTCGTCCTCTGCTTCATCCGCAGTCCCATCCATGTGTCTTCAGGAGGCCATACGTATGAAGACTGCAGCAATGTCCTGCAGTGGAGTACCTGCAATGCTAAATCTTCGCTCATCTTCAGGTAGCAGTGCTACTTCACCCGTGCCATCTCCTAAATCACCAGACGGATGTGACTTGCTAATGTCCCCTGCATCTACAGCCAGTTTCATATTCTCCAAAAGCACAAAAAGAGTTGTGATTGAAACACCTACTTCTCCTGATGTTCAAGCAAGCCTCAAACAGAGTCTTGCAGCTGAGATAATGCAGGTTTCCGACCAAGCCAAGACGATGATTACAAATGGAACAAAAAAGCCAATTAAGGTGCCGCCACCTGTTGCTAAGAAACCAGTGCATGGAAGCAATCCTCCAAACAAGATGGAAAATGCAACACAGGATAAGACGGAGATCTTGACAAATAAGCAAATAATGAGGGTTGATGTTAATGGGCAAAGTGATCAAGTGCATCCTGCTGGCCAGCGAGCACAATCATTAGGGAACCAGGAACAAGCAAGTAAGGAAGCATTCGCAATGAACATGTCAATTTGTGCATGAAATAAACAATGGACATGTAAATGATCATTATAATTACTTTTCGTTTCAGGAAGTACAGAGACCTCGTGTTGAAGAGACATAAGATGAGTTTTGATTGGACTGCTAGTAAAGAGAAAAGGACAAAGCAAGTGATGAAAGCCCAAGTAAGGTCTTGATCAAGAATTTATGGTTACCACCATCGTCTTAAAAGCCTTAGCCTGAAAATGGCCTTCAAGTGTATGCAAAAAGCTTTTACTCCCCAAAACATGTTTTGTAAAATAGATTTATTACAGCTTTCAAGTATTTTTTTAAGAGCCTCTCTGCTCTGGAAAGAGTCGCATTTAGTTTATAATCGACTTATTAAAGCAAATGACTGCAAGACTGAACTGACATCTAGTGGTCACTGTTGGTAGTAATCACTGCTTGGCGCCAAAAAAAAACCCTGTATCATATTTTTTTGATATATCCAAGTATGTCCAAGCACTTGATTTTAGCTTTTAATGAAAGTTGAGGATACTAACAATTGTGAAAGATTTAGTGCTACTGCAATCAACTCAAATATGTAATTATACATGTACAGAACGTTCTGTTATCTTTATGAAATCTGCAGTACGCTAACCATGGCTGAAATGTATACACAAAAATCTACATATTTACTTTTCATTAGATTGAAGCACTTTGTAAGCTAGATGCTGCATTTAAGTTGGAACCAGCAAAAAAAAAGGTAAGAGTATTGACTGATGGTCCCTCTGGAATTGATGTAAAATGTATATATACAAAATTTTTAGTAGCTATTTGCTTCAAGAGGGGGTGAATAGAAGTGCTACACTGTTTTAAAATGAAATATGCATTAAAGATATTTATAGATTTACCCTGTTTTCACTTTTTAATTGTGTTCTTAGCATTAATGACTTGACCATACAAACGTAACATATAGAAATATCATTATAAATTTGCATGATTAATGCAGTTATTAATATTAACAATGCATTTACACTGCAGATCTTGATGGACAATTCAGATTTTTTTGTGACCTGTATCCAATTCTTTTTGATGACCTGTTCACATCATCTTTTAAAAGTGGTTCGTATCTGATTGTCTGCATTTACACAGCAAACAGTAAAGACAAAAAAAAAAAAAAAAGAGTGGGCACTGACTGACAGCTGATAATAAAAGAGCACTATTTTCTCCATTTCTGTATTTAATCTGTTCCCAGGGTTTCATTGATTTAAATTCTTTTGACAAATCATTTTGCTATAGTTTATGACAGAAACATTCTCATCTCTTCTTTTAATCTAGGCCTACTTAAACCAGTAGGCATCTTAATCTAATGTCAATAGCACGATTTATGCATGTGATGTATGAAAAAGTTTTACAATTGGTTACGTGGCAGATGTTGCTCTCTCTCTCGTTAAACATGCCTAAATACTTGTGCTACATGACAATACAAAAGCTTTTTTAGTCCTCGTGTATGAGATTTTAGGTTTGGGACTCTGCTGAAATCTGTTCTGAAATGAAAGCATCAGTGTTGACGTTATTAGCGATGGTTTTTAATGAGGCACAGCTCACATTGATAGGTGTTAATCAGATCTACCTGCTTACACTGCAGACACAAGGACACAAATTCAAGTCATATTGAATAAATTTCCACATATGAACAAGGCCTGAATCTGATTTGAGTAAATTGTAATCCATGTGATTGTGTCCTGCTTACACGGGCCATATGTGATCTGTGCCACAAAATGGAGTCACTTGAATCATGCAGTGTAAATGCAGTCTTTGTTTTCTGATAAAGCTACTATTTCAGCACAGAAAAATACACAGAAAATAAGTTGTTTTTCCAATAATCTTTAACCTTAATGTCTAAATTACCACTTCTTTTTAAATCGGCTCCAAAATTTGTATTTTCTGGTTAAAATGAAAGAAACACCTCATTTTAAGAGATAATAACAGAAAAATTAAAGACATCTCTACAATAATTTCCATCAAGACATACAGAAATCAGTTATGAATCATCCTTTATTTGAGTGAGTCTGGTTAACATTAGATCTGAATGTTACGTTATCTGAAATTCTAGCTGTTTTCTGGGAACAACTAATCTTAAAATATTCACCATAACATTTTGCTGTTTATATACTGTAGATTGTCCCACATCTGAACCGTTTACTTTGAAGGTTAAATAATAGTTTGTACATTGTCACACTGATCATTATAAGCACTGATCAACAGACATGGCACCACAGGAAAACCTGAGTTTTAAGATAACAGATGAGCTCCTGCAAGATTCCCCATTTATCACTAATGCATATTAGCATGTTTACTGCAGTACTTAATGCATAAATCATCTTGGACGCCATTACATGCAATGTAAAGGACAGACAATACTCCTATGCATTCTTCTGCAGTAATGGTGAACTATTAGTTCAGTTTTTGATGCCTATGATGAGTGATATACACAGTGTAGATGTTATGTGGATTACGGCTGTCATGAAAACTCTCCCACTGGAGCTTGAGAAAAATAGTGTGGATATTCTAGCTGATATTTCCACCTTTAAGTGTTTTGCAGGTGATTCGTCCAAGTTTGGTCATCAGATTTTGCTCTTTCCATTGTGCAACAAACTCGCCGGAGATCTTCAGATCAACCTGAAGAGATCAAACAAATAAATATAAAACCATGAAGACAAAACGATACCTTAAAAGCAGCTATGTGTAGAATTCAGAAACTATTACTATTATTAGTGAGACCAGTGGGCAATAAACAACAGCCAGCAATTTATAGGTTTTTTTTATCCTTTAATTTAAGCTAAAATAATGTATAATGACATACTGAAACAAATTTTTCATAGAAAACATTAATTTGGGCAAGGTCTCAATTTTTTTTAAAGATTTGTTGGCTCCTAATGACAATAGAAAAGTGATTAATACTTAAAATTCGGTCGCCTGTTACTTTAATATACAACTTACACTATTAACAGACCATTAACTAACACTATTAGCTAAAACTACTAATTAGCTGCTTTTTAATAGTTAGTAAGGTAGTAGATGGGTTTTGGTAGGAATAAAACCATTACCTTATAAGTAATAATTAATATTATATTAATATAATTAATATAAATAATACTTAAACTAAAGTGTTACCGAAAAGAAATTACATAAAGTACATTGATTTAAGTACAAATAATATATAAAACACACAAAACACAAACACCACATACCTGTAACTTCTCAAACACCTTTTTCTTTGGTTTCAATTCATCGTCTGGTTTGCCAGATTCATAGCCCTCTACGTAAACACGATCTCCTGCTGCAGATCCTTCTGGTGGATCCAAAGGCTCCACTTTCCTGGGCTCTCCTTCGCTAAAGGCCAAAACATTTAGAAAGATCAATGCAAAAAAATTACTTTTACTATGAAAATCTGTCAATCAATTGGGGTGTTTGGTGCTCTACTTACATTGAAGCACAAAGCACCATTGCTTGAGATTCAATCCCCCTCATCTTCTGGGGCTTTAAGTTGCAGAGCAGCACAACGAGTCGGTCCTGAAGCTGTTCCTCTGTGATATAAGCCACCAGTCCACTCACTACAGTCCGCGGCTGTTCTTCACCCACATCAATCTTCTCTAAATATAGTGAGTCTGCATCTGGATGCTAACAGATCAAGACAAAGATTATTTAAATACACTCTTATAGGGTTTTCAAAAGTATCGACTTTAGTACCGATCGATACAAAAAAAGTTTTAGTAGCATTCCTACTGGCATTTGAGGACATATCAGACTTAGCAGATTGGCCATTGGTCATGTGCTCAACAGATATGACTGTGATTGGCTCTGAAGGCCATCAATTCACTGCTCTTCATAAAATACAACACAGATACACAGACTATTTAAAAGCCACATCAACTTTAAGCCAAATATCAAGTTTCCTAACTGTAAAGATAATTTCCATGACATCTAAAGAGGATAAAAACAGACTGCGGGTTATAGCTTGAATATAATTTCCCATGACTTTACTAGAGACTATGAGAATAACAATGGTTAATTTCCCTCAGATTTAAAAAAAAAAAAACTGAAGTACTTTGTGTGGCTTTGAAGTACTCCTTGTCCAATTTTTGATAGTTTAATAGTACAAACATATTTAGCTTGTCACACTTTTTGTCTTTAAAAAATTGGTCATATCGGAGCCATTTTTTTAAAAGATTACATTATCCCAACATGTTTTCCTTAGTTAACAGATACAGTCTTGTGACTTAAGTGACTGCAAGTTGATGAGCGGAAAGCAATAAAATGGAGCTGAATTATTACCATTGCAATAGGTGTGGAAAAAAACAAGTACAAAAAACATATATTGATAAAGAGCAAAGTGAAAAAAAAATTGATAAATGACAAACAAAAATTCCTGATAATCCACAAGTTAAAAACTCCATCATATTCAAAACAAACATTGTTTACTCACAAAAAAACACTGGAACATTGGCGGATAACTCATATATTCACTCATTGATGGATTAGCTAATAGATGTGGCTTTCAAATGTCAACTGACCTTCAGAGATAATCACTTTTATATCTGTTGAGCACAAACTAAGCAGCCAAACAGTGGGAAGAAGCTTTTAAAATTTCAGTATTGACAGTTATCGAAGTCGATACTTTAGACATCATAGAAGTTAAAATGCTCATACAAGTTTGCAGTCTCTACCTTTTCTACACTGATGACTTTTCCCACTCTGATGTCTAATCTGGATGGGATGACCTCATCGTCATCTGTGGTTTGTTTAGGGTTGCCCTTTGCTCCTCCTTCTGTGAAATAATGACAATCGAATCAGACCTTGAAACTCAGTCTAACATTTTAAAATGTTTTTTTTAGATATGCATTTTCACTCACTGTTTTTAGATGGTTCTGGGTAAGCAGATGATGTCAGTTTTTTCAACTCAGGGCTCTCAAACTTCTTCCTGATAGGGTCCAACAGTTTGTTAAGAGCCAATTCTACTGAAGCCTTCAGGTCACCTGGATGAATTTGCTGCGGGT